ATATTCAATAAACTTATACTCAAAGTAATCAAGAAGAGGCATCCAAAGGTGGTGTGTGCCACCCATATGAGGCACGCGGGGCCCCACCCAATACCCACATGGTGGGCCCATGTGCACTATGAGCCCCCATGTATTTTTTTTTTATAAATATTTTAAAATTGAACAAAATGAATTTTAAAACATTATAACTTTGTAAATTAATAACTTCATTTTTATAAGTCCAAAAATAATAAATAAAATATCAAATAACTTATAAAAATTCAAATAATAAATCTAAAATAATTTAATAATAAAATGAACACAATTAAATTAATATGATGGGAAGTGGATCCATATGGTTCTGGAATTTTATCAACGATCATGAGATACTACACCTTCAACTGTGGACTACAGACCACACTTGCTTTATCAAACCGATCCAGTATTTCTCATGACCGGCAGTCCAAGTAGGAGCTCATTAGCGGGTCACCAAAGTCTGCTCGATGAGTCAAGGGATCACAATCCCAGTCTGTGGGTTACAGGTCCTCCCTTAGAGACGAGTCAAGGTCACCACGACCTGATGCGACCACAGCTTTATGGTGCATAGGAGTATTGCTCGCACATGCATACATTTCACCCAAAAGGTGGATAACTGGCTTTCCCAAACAATCTATCGATATGCATGCCGTGTGATGGATCATGGATGAGGTTTTGGCTTCTGTTTTTATAGGCCTACCATCACACACAAGGGTCACACAGTCCCTCGACTCACTCATCTAGGCATAAGCTCTGACCTCATCAAGGGCTAACCCAAAAACCCTTCTCGGGTTATTCTTTATGCCCAAGTACCTTGGGTTTTCCAACTGACTGGCTTAGATCGTCAAACATAATCTGGTATCAACAAATATCATTTGCTTAGTATGGTCCTCGAGGGACAACACTCCCACTAAGTTTATGTTCCACTCTAATAAATGTTTTTCATTACACACTCATAAAGCCTTTAAAGGCCACATAAATCCAATACTATAAACATATAAAAATCTTGAAAATGGATGGTGTAGATAATATGTTGTAAAATGCATTATTTCTGAGACTTAAAATCTTTTTATTTTTTATGGTCATACATTTCGATGTCGAGATGATCAATCAATGGGTTTTTCAGCATTAAAACTACCTTTTCCGATAGATTTTTGAGATGCATCCGTAGTTTTGCATAATAAAGTTGCATCCTTATGTAAACTGTTTCCTTTACTAAATCCTCCAAGACGTATACTAATAGCAGATTGCTTTGCTGTATAAACACGAGACTCCTTATGTGAATTTAAGTGTTGTACTATTGTTACAACCTTAAGAACCCAATTAATTCTGAATTACTGATCCAGACTGAGCTGTACTAGTTCGAATATGGTATTAGTACCCCGTTAAACATCCCCTTTGATAGTTTTGTTTTTTTGTTTTTTTTTAAACTCATCTAATGTTTTCCTATGGCTCCCTTAAATCCCCCCTCAAAAACTCTTAATTTATGTTTATTAGTATTATTATTATTTATTTATTTTTATTTTTTGAGATTCTCGATTCATACTGATCTGAAACAACAATCCATCGATCCGACACATATATGTGGGGTGGATGATTCACCCTACCAATCAAGGTTTTGAAATATTTGTTGCAACAATCGGAGCGTATCCTTTACTTAGTGTTCTTAACAATATTTTAAAAAAGGTGTGGTTACATAAAGTTACAACCTTAAACAATCCAACTAAAGTGCACCTTCAAATTTTATCATAATATATAATTTTGATGTAAAATGTTCTTAGGATTATCTTAAAATTTATTTTTATATCTAACAATAAAATTTTAAATTTAAAAAATAGTTAAAATCAAGTAGATCTATAAACATATGAAAATCTAAAAAATAGACGGTGTAGATAAAATGTTGTAAGATGTACTATTTCTGAGGCTCAAAATCTTTTTGTTTTCATAGTCATACATCTCGATGTCGAGATGATCAATCACAGGGTTTTTCAAAGTTAAAATAACTTTTTCCAATGGATTTTTTAGGTGCATCCATAGTTCTACATTTTAAGGTTGCAACCTTATATAAACTTTGACCTTTTAAAAAACATTGATCCAGATCTAAATTGCCAATTCCAGGTTAATTTTGAGGGAGTATCAGTCTAGTTCCTTCAACATACCGGCAACTGGATAGTTCCCTCTAAAAACTGACTGGTTCTTTATAGAATTGCTTGGATCTGGTGGTTCTGTCAAGAAACTGCAATAGTTCCCATAATTTACTTTTTTATTTTTTAGTTTTTAATTATTGATTATGATGGCTCATCCCACCCCTACCATGTTCAAGGGACCAACCTTCTCTCTCCCTAGCTGGTGAAGAAGTCCTACCTGCTGCACCTGGGTTTGCCCAACACCAAGAAACCCCCTACTGCTCTACAACAAGCCCTAGAAACGTCGGTCGTTGTCCCTTTCCTCCGTCATGTTTCCTAGGAATAGAGCAATAAGAGTCATAAATGTGATGCTTTTTTAGAGAGATACGTTAAAGACCACACTTTTTTTAACACCTCTAGCGAGATAAAACATTAATAAAAATACAAATAAAAATAAATAAATAAATAATAAATTTTAATGAATTAAGTTTTCAAGAAAAAGGAAAAAATAAGAAATGAACGGGCAAAAACACATTATCTTCACAAACTCAAGTGGTACTAGACATTATAAAAACAAAAAATAAATTTTTTTAAAGGTAGATATATCCAATTCATTACCGTTAGTTGCATTTTAAACTTTATTTTGACTATAAAATAAATATAGTGGCCCATAAACACTACATGAAATAAATTCTCAATATTTAAATATTTTTGTGAAATAATGAAAATCTATAATATAATACCTTATTTTTTAGCAATCTAAAAACTTATGTATTGAAAAAATTTAATAATTTTTTAGAGGCCTAAAATATTTTAAAAAAAGTTCATTAATAATTTTTTCTAAGCCAGATCGGGCCAATCCGACTGATCCAGGCAGGTGACGATCCAATCAGAGCGTCCGATCCTTCCCGCCGATCCGGGTGTTCCAGCACTGGTTCTCGATTACGAAAATGTTTTCCATCTCCTCTCGCCTCTAACCCGAGTATCCATCCATTGAACCTTTGCTCTCTCTCTCTCTCTGCATGAGGTCCTTCACAGACGGAATAGCTCTCTCTCTCTCTCTCTCGCTCTGCCATGGTTGGCGCGTTGTTAAGGTGTTTGGGAAGCAGAAGAAGTTTATTTGTGGATGGTGGGAAATGGGGAAAACAGTTTGCCTTCTCTCTCTTCTCTTCTTCACTCTCCTTTTCCACTAATGGAGAAGAAACTGGGGTTCAGGGCTCAAGCTTCAAAGTATTCGATAGAGATCTCAAGAGAAAACAGGTAAAAAAACACGCATTGGATTGAATCCGTCTGATATTTTTTTGGATACCTTTTCGATTATTTTTTAATGTATTTTTTATTGATATTGAGATTTTGATTTGAAATTGTGAGGTTTGGTTGGTTGTTTGCAGAGGGACAGGGCTGCATGGCTTGCGGATCCTAGCGACAGCTTCGTTGATTCTGTGACCGACAATCTCTTGGACCGTCTCCAGGTTCTCTCTCTCTCTCTAAACGAGTCACTTGGTTTTCTTATTTAATCAATTTTTTTTTTATAATGTTATTTAATCTTCTTCATTACCCATTTTTGTTGTGTTTTGTTATTGGCTAAATCTTCAAATGAACACGGTGAAAAAAACAGGCATGTTATTTTTGAGCACTACTATACTATGTCCTCATATTGTCTGCAACATGGTGAAATAATGTATCAGGGTTTGGAACATATGGATGTTCTATAGTGGAAATCCAACATATTGAAGTTTTATAATGAAAATTCATATCATCGAGTTATCAGTTAAATAACCATCTTGTAGTTTGAAAAAGTTTGAACTGTTTTTTCCTGTTTTTTTTTTTTGGGGATAGTTAACACTATTTCATTAAAGAGAAAATTGGATGTGCAAGTACCATGTCATTACCAAATGAGTCATAGGCAAAACTGTTAACATGTTAAAGTTCCCATTAATGCTCGAGAAAGCCAATAATTTTTTTTTGAAAACCCACCATGGGCTTCGAACGATTTTGCTAGCTAAATGGTAGATGACCACGTTCAATAATTTCAAAATCCTTCACTAGAATGTTATTAGAAGATTGTAGTAGTGCTCCACGAATAGAAGCTTTAGAGCTTAAATTTGCTGACAATTAGACTACTCTTGATTTGTCTTGTGTGCTCCAGGGACGATGAGGTACCATTTTTTTGTGGTACTCAATAATTAATCGGATATATCAAAAGTAGGTTAAATAAATTATGTATCCAAAGATTTCAAAACTGAATTTATAGCCAAAATATGATTCTCAAAACTAGATCCTCCAAAAGATGACACTTCCAATTATCGAGAACCAAAGTTCCTCAGGTTGACTTAAGCAAAGAATGTATATATTAAGAAATTATGTTTGTTAGTGTTCATTTTGAAGACAACTTAGTGTAAATTCCATATCTTTAATCAATGGCTAATTATAAAGGGATGGATTTGGCTGATGCAGAATGGATACTAACTATTAAAGATGATATTATGGGCAGCTTGGTTCAATCTATGGTTTTATAATGCAGCCCTTCATGTGCATCTCTTTGCTATCAAGAAAAGAAGGAATTCGAGCTACTGGTATGGAGAATTTTAGAGGACAATGAATGTTGTTCTATAAAGAAGACTGCTAAACTATCTCAAAAGCCTTATCCCCTTGGAATGATTTTCTCATTTGTGTTGAACTAAAGTACATCAGCAAGCTGCCATGGAACCTAAGATTCTCTTAAGAAAAGACCACCCTCCACCAGCATAGGAGTCTCTTCATTGAGTCTGATGTAACCTACATGCTTTAAAAATCTCAGTCAAGTGATACAATTTGCGTGAATGATTCTCGAATGAGAGATCTGTTATGAACCATATTTATAAAGTAAGAAAGTAGGGTCTAGATGGACTAATCTTCTTACATGTTACAGTTTGAGTTTTCCAACAAAATTCCAATGCTTCACCATATAAAAAAGAAGAAGAAGGAAGTCGTCATGAACGACTTGCTACACATCCACTCTCTGTGAAGCTTAACAATAGCGTGATCATTCTTGGAGATGGACACAATTGCCACTCTGTTTCAAACAAACAGAAATAGGGGTTGCACCATCTAAATGCATAATTTCATGTAATCTGAGTACTTCTTAAGAAATTTGAAAAACCCATGGAAAGTCCTGCTTTCTGAGAACCCTAAAAGCTTGAACGTCAAAACTACATGAATAAATTAAATTATGCTGTAAAATTTCTTGTTTTCTTTACCTCTGAGCTCCTCAAATATTCAACGTCACGTGCCTTTTATTCCTCCTTGAACACAGAGTAATGCTTCAAAAGACTCTAGTTACAGATTCCCCATTCACATATGTTCCCAATGGTGCAAACTAATGGACAACACTATAACAATATTGACATGCCAAATCTACTAGTTCTTCTTGTAAGGAGTTCATCTCTTATTCTAGCTATATTTTGGTTCCTGATATTATGTGGTGGAATCATCATCATCATCGTCATCATCCCTTATCCCAACTAATTGGGGTCGGTTAAACAAGTCTTGTTCTACCATTCTACTTTATCAAGGGCCATACCCTCAATCAGACCATAAGTCACCATATCTCTTCTCAGTTCTTACGGCTTCCATCCATGTCTTTTTGGGCTTCCCCTTACCCTTTTAGAGCCTTCCACTTGAGCCAAATCACCCCTCCTAACTGGTACTATATTAGGTCTACCTTGTACATGGCCAGCCCACCTAATCTTTTTTCCTCATCATATCGTTTATTGGAACCAGCCCCTAAGTTCCCTTGTATTTGTTCATTCCAAATGCTATCCTTTCTTGGTGTTAGGTGGTGGAATCTTTGAACAATTTTGTAAGTAGTAAGTACCATTATTTCCAGCACTTACATGTGTAGTATCCGAAACAAAGTAGCTCAAAATACATATGAAGATGTTTTTCTTATCTTCTTTCTTTATTTTTCTTCTTTTAATAATTCATATATGTTAAGGTATTAACATATATATATGAGGATATCTAATCGTCTTTCTGTACATTTCAATAGCATGCTCAAAATAAGCAATTTATTGATTCTCATTGACTGTTGTAAGTTCTGGTGTGTTCTTTAGAGAATGTTCCAAGAACTTGCAATTCTGTTTTACAGTTTGATCACTTTATGTTATCTTATGCATAACAAAGTATTCATGCAGTTAACTTTGGATACATGCCTTATAGGATTGTAGAAGGACATTTCCTACCGCGCTTTGCTTGGGGGGTTCCTTGACATCTGTGAAACGTTTATTGCGTGGAAGAGGTCAGAAATTATTTTTCTACATTTTAATCTCTTTCATTATTTTTTCTATTCTTTTTCTTGACTGTGACAACTATCTTTTTGGTCAGGTATTTTGTGTATTTGCTATGATTGTATTTGTAACTTATCTCACCTGCCAAGCAGATTTTAGTTTCTTTTCTTTTTGTAGACGAGTCACAGATTCCTTTTAGGGAAATTACTTTTTGGAGTATGAAGAAATGGTAACTTAGGGGGAATGAAGAGCCAAGGCTTTGGTGACATGAAATTTCAAAAGATTTTATATCCCCATCAGACTTTTATACTCAAAATTAGCCTCCATATAGATTTGGATCATATAGACCACAACCAATTACAACAAATCTGAGATTTTCTACCCATCTGATAACCAACTTCTCCATCAATAACCAACATTGGAAAAATTTGCGCTTGTGGAAAGATCATCGTTTCATTTAGCCTTTATTTCACCTCAGTGAGAGCCAAGTACATCACCTGGCAACTTAAAGCAACTTAAAGTTCTTGTAAATGTTAGATAGAGACCCATGAACCTTGTTCTCGTTCGTGGTTTCTTCTCTAAAGCCTCTTATCACCTTAATATCTCCATGCTCATGGCATTACACAAGTCGATCATCATATGAAGTTTCTCTTATGGACAATAATAGCTAGCATATGAATGATAATAAAATATTACTGACCTAGCATATGGGAATCAAAAGGTAAGCAACTCGCCTGAAGAATAATCTCCTGGTTGACATATACTTCCATTTGTTGATTACAATTTAATATTGACATTGTCATATCACAAGCTTATAGTTACTGAAGTCATAAGTCTTTAATTTTGAAGGCTTCAAATGTAGATTTATGGTCTCTAAAACAATCGATGGACCTTTTCAAATGTCAGGTGCAATTGAGACGCTCATTATGATGGATACATCTCATGATATGATAAAACGATGTATGGAGGTTGAGGTAGATTCATCTCACAGTAACTTGGAAACATTCTATGTCATTGGTGATGAAGAGTTCTTACCTGTGAAGGAATGGTAATTGTTTCTTGTTTCAGATTGTGTCTTAAGTATCATAAGGATGTTATGTTAGCTTACCTGCAAATATTTCACTGAACATGGCACATCGGTCTAAATTTTGAATTTTGCTTTTGAAGCTCTTTAGATTTGATTGTCAGTTGCTTGGGTCTTCACTGGACAAATGATCTTCCTGGAGCCATGATACAAGTAAGCTTGTATCTGCTATTTGTATTTTGTAGTAGCTTTTTACCAATAAAATTTCTCTAGGAAACTATCAGCTAAATAATATTGAATCTAACCATGTAGCTAATTTATTGTCAGGGAAGACTTGCCTTGAAGCCTGATGGCCTGTTTTTAGCAGCTGTTCTTGGAGGAGAGACCTTAAAGTTGTTTAATTTTATTTTTTACTGTCTTTATGCACATTTATTTATTTACGGGCGTGAATTTTTGGGTATTTTTTTATGGTCCTTGTCAAGATTTTTATTATTTTGATTATTTTGATTATTTTGTTTGGACTAGGGAGCTAAGAATCGCTTGTACCGTGGCTCAAATGGAGCGTGAGGGGGGTATCAGTCCTCGAATGTCTCCTCTTGCACAAGTTGGTATTCTTTATTGTAAGATGAAGTATCATTGTAAAGGGGGTTCTGATCTTTTTAACTACTCTTTTCGGTTAAGGATGTGGTGTCTTTGTTAATCTGTAACTCAATGCTATTTAGAGTTGTAGCAATAGTGCAGCATAATATTCTCTTGATAGACATACTGTTTAATGCATGGGAAGGATTTTTGACATTAGATCATTGCAATTTGATGTGCTTATTGGATGATACCAAACTTAAAATGAAAGTCTTTGCCGTTTTCAACAGATAATTTGTGGAGTGCATTATTCTATGTTTGAATACAAAATAGATTCATATGTAATTCTCAATGTAAACTGGGATACTTTGTATTTAATGATGCATCACCATCTTTAGAAAATCTCTTCAAAAGTATAAATCTGAATACTTTTGTTGCAATGATTCATTCTAAATTTTGGTAATCTGAAATAAAGTTACTACGAAAGAAAGCCATATACCCTAGATTGTACACATTGATCACTGATCTATAAAGCTGGGGGTTTAATCAGACATCTATTAGCTCCTCCTCTATGTGTCCCTTCCAAGCTTTCTCTATTCACCATTCCTTTTATCTACTATTCCATTTCTTTTCCATTCCATCACTTCTACTTCCATTATTGGGTGATTTTTTTCTGACGTCTGCCGTATCACTCCTATTTGTAAACTGGAGAATAAGATAGTTCTTTACATTCTAAATCAATGGCCTTTACATTCAAGCATGAACATAAATGTGAAAATATGAAAAATAACCCTGATTATGCATATTATGATATACTTGCATAGGAGATACATGAATACCCATAGTGTAATGGAACTATACACAAATCCATAGTCTTTTGCAATATGTGCACTTTTTCATTTAAGTGGTTCTGTCCATACTTTGGGGAATGAATTTGCATCAAGCAATGAAACATGTGATGTTGACTCATTATGTTTGAAATTTAGCCTTTATTATAGTTTATTTTTACCATGATGATAGTTTTGCTAGCACACTCGAATAATATGAGTTACTAAAATGAAATATGGTAATAGCTAAAGGGAGAAGAGTATGTGATTGACCTAGAATGGAATTCAATAATGACTTGGTTTTTGTTCATTCAGGTGCGAGATGCAGGTAATCTGCTGACTAGGGCAGGCTTCACCCTACCAGGTGTTGATGTTGATGATTTTACAGTGAAATACAACAGTGGTACTTATCTTTCACTATTTACTATGATTGTGAATTTTAAGTTAGATGGAAACATTGCAAGATTTCAGTGGATCAGCTTTTTATTACTAAAAACTTTGACAATTGCATGTGAAATTTGACTCATACAATCATACTATAATTAGATAACTTGGGATTAGTCTCAAATAACAAGCCTTTGGTAAACATGGTGTCCTTTGGAAATCTTTGTCAGATTTTTCAAGGGTCATTATTTAATTGATTGTTTGATGTACACTAGTTCCCTTTCATAAAACTTTACATTAGGATTAGAATGGGTTCAAGATGAGTATGTTCTTTTTATTATCGCTGACGAGTGTAGACTTTGCTAAGTGATATGAAACTCTGTTTAAATACTTTTGTCCATTTCAAGCAATTGTCATGCTCAGGCATTGCCTTCTATTTGATAACAGAACTGCCCCACTCTTTCCTTTTAATCAAAGTCTAATCTTGCATAGCTCATGAAAAGGAATACCTTTGAAATGTTCCCAAACAAAATGCAAAAAGGGAATATCTTTGAACAGAAAAAGCCTTGAGAATCAATTCACATTTAGTAGGTTGGTTTAGGTTTCGTACCAAATTGAATGCCTTATATCAGAATGAGCCCTAAGAATTAATTCAAATCCAGTATTGTTGGTTCGGGTTTCTTGCTAATTTGAGATTCAAATCTGGTATTGTTGGTTCGGGTTTCTTGCTAATTTGAGCTTACACGGGCTTTCACAACGTGTTTAGTTCTTTTTGCATGTTAAGGGGCTTAATTAAGAATGTTTAGCAATTAGCAAAGCATTTAAGGATCGGGAAAAAAGCTCATTGTGTTATTGTGTTGCACTGTTTTTTTTTATGAAATTCACTCTATTGTATTAATTTATGAGGATATACAGATTATACATAGATGTTATAAGTAAAATAATTACCAAGTCACTGGTCTATACAAAAAGAAAGAAAAACCAGGGACTCATTAACAAAACTTATAGTTTGTTTTGCACAAGAGAGACAACAGGACCGGCCTTCTGAAGAGGGTGGTTAATTGCAAAGTTTGGTTTGAGTGGGAATCTGCGATATGCTTGGCCTTGCACCAAGTATGTCACAGGGAGCTAATCAGCCCAAATATCTGGTCAATATACTTGCTTTGGTCACCAGAAACAATTGGATAACCTTTTGGGCCAGTGTAGTCCCCTTTGATCAGACAATTTGAGGCCTTCAAGGAGTGTGTGAGCCTTGGCTGAGGTTGACAAAGCTTATCGGTCCTGATTACGATGGTAGCATGAAATCCGATTCCGAAATTTCTCTAATAATACCTCCAATGCCCACAATCTCCGGATTACCAAGAGAGCACCCATTAAAATTCAGTTTGATAGTGTCTGGATCCAGATCAAAGCAATGGGCAGATCTAGTTATAGACCTTTCTACAGACCTCTTATTGGCTCCCCAGTCTAGTAGGAAGTCTGTGGCAGTGTTGCTCTTGTATTCCTTTCACTATCTAGCCCACTCTATAATGGTGGCCTTGATGTTGTCCTTGATAGCCCCGGGCTGCACTTCCCTGCCTATGGAAATTTGTCCGTTATGCTTCCGCCAAATGGCCCACAGAAGGACCAGGACTGGGGTCCACCAAAGAAGCAAACTTGAGGGTAGATCCTGTTACATCCCACTGTCCACCAAAAAGATTTAATAGGAAGGACCAAAACTTCCCAGCCAGTGGACAGTGCAGGAAGAGATGGTCAACATATACCTCACTAGCCTTGCACATAATTTAACGGCTAGGCTTTTGTAGCAGTGTAGAAAAAATCGAACTGGAATGGTTAGCCTGACATGGGACCGGGAGCGGTTTAACCGGTCTAACTGGTAAACTGGCTGGCTCAACCGGCCTAACCTGGCAAGTCCCGGGTGGTACAAAATAGTAGTTAAAAAATAAAAACATACAAAAAAATAAAATATGAAAAGTATATTTAAAGTATAATTAAACAAAGTACATCCAAATGAAGTTGAAAATTAATGAAATATTGGTTTTTAAAGAATCGATTTTTGCTCAAGGATATTTTTGAAATTTTCTAAAAAAGATGGGAAAATATAAAAATAAGTATTAATGGCCAAAATAATTTCTGATCTTTGCCAAAATGATGGAAAACATTAAAAATGCATTACAAACAAAAAAAATCCCTTACTTTTTAGGATTTTATATAATTTTGTTTTGAATTTTTTTCAAATACCTGACGGTTCCCTAAAACTTGCTGAAACCGGAACCGGCTAGTGGCCGGTTCGAATCTAACTGGGTCTAATTGGGCGGTTAGAATTTGAACCGCCTGATTTTACCTACACTGATCTATAGAGCTCTCCTTTGGAGCTGCTCCACTATGGGAGTACTTTTGTTTATTACCAGCCAGGTGAAGACTTCAACCTTTCTATTGGTGTTAGGGTGGGGGGAAGATCCAGGCCTTGCGGGGAAGCATTTTGGTGTAGCCGAGGTCGCTGGAATCCACACCAGCCTGTCCTTACCATGGCTAGGGAAAAAGTGGACGTTAAGGGAGGTAAGTGTTTATATGCGAAATTGTTAGAGAAAATAGTACCCACCTAATTTCTCGTGTAAACCATCAACCAATGGTAGATTAGGAGGTTCTGTTAAATTATGGACCACAAAAGAAAAAGATCCTTTGGTCCCCCTCTTTGGTGATCCGCTGGCCGTGTCAGCTAAAGTTCACCTTAAAACCAAAAATAAAAAAAGAAAATTTTGAATCCTAAGGGAAAATAGGGAAACTTTGGACAACATCTTACAAGTAGAGCAACAATATTAATTAGATAAACTAATAAAACAAGTTACATGACTGAGAGAATAGATTAAGCTTGCTTGGAGTGAAGCAGGTCCACAGGCCCGTCACCTGGAGTTGGCGGCCTAGATCAGAGATGTTGGTGCGATAGGACTATTCCCGTTGTCTATCAAGTCGTGAGCCAAAGGTGCTCAATTTGTACTTTTGTAGAAATTGATCGGGATTGTAGAAGGGCCTAGGGACCTTCGATTGGGTATTCATGGATTGAGCCTTGCCAAGCTTTAAAAGATGGCAGAGATCCGAGCTTAATCCGGCGAGACTTCATATGATTCTCAAAAATTCCGTTCTCCCCCTCTAGCTAGAAGAGAACGAGTTTGTATAAGCTTGTGTTCTCTCCCTCTCCAGTTCAAGGTGAGAGATGAGAAGTGAAAGCTTGAGAGAGGAGTGCGTAAGTGAGAGGGAGAATGTGTTTGTTGTATGAATAGGAGAGAAGGCATGTCTTGTGTGAAGGCCAGAGAGAGAGAATAAGTGAGAGGGAGAGAGAGTGCGTGGAGTTATGGGAGAAGTTGAACTGGGGGGCTCACTATTATGGGAGAGAAATAAATGACGAGGTAGAAAATGCAACGGAGGAAAGAGGCCACATTAAAAGGAGGTAAGGGAGAGGAAGGAAGAATGAGTGGAGAGGGAGAAGGTAAGACGAGGGAGAGAGAGATAAATTAAGATGGAGAAAAGGTAAGGGAGTAGTGGGGGCACAGAAAAGAAGGTAAGGGAGATGAGAGAATGAGTGAAGAGAGAGAAGGTAAGTGAATTAAAGAGAGGGGAGAAGTCAAAGGGTGGGTGGAGTGATGATGGATGGAATTATGATGAAAGAGAGAGAGGTTGGTGGTGGTGATGATGGATGGAATTATTGATGAAAAAGAGAGAGAGATTGGACTTTAAGAGGAAGGGGTTAGGTGCATGTAACATGAATGGAAATGGAAGAGAGAGAGAAGGGTCAGGATGGACACGCTGATGATATTGATATAAGATTAGGTGCACTAGGGTGTACTATAGTAGTATGGTCCCTTGTGTGGATTAGGCTAGGAAAGTGGGTTTTTGTTGAGGCAAAAATTAAGGTTTTGGTTATGGGTAGGTCTAAGAAGGGTCTAAGCTAGATTCTTAGGATTTCAAGATTATTTTCAGTTTGTTGGAATTCCTTTTAGCCGAAAATGGGATGTTTGAAATAGCCCCTCTTTGTCGCTCGTATTGTGCATTTTGGACGAGATGGGTGTCACAGAAGTAGGCACCTGAGCCACATAGTCAGGGAAAACAAAGTTAATTTTGGAGTAGAGTACTCGCTTGAACGTCTAACAATAGTCAGCCAGTGGCCCATGTGGTCTCTGGGACCTGGAGGTGAGCTTAACCCAATCTGTTGGGGTGATTGCTGAGAGCTCCATTTGTCGAGCTTAGGTTGTGGTGTTAGATTTCAAGGGAAAATAGTTCTCGGTGTTTTGTAATGTGATTTGAAAGTGGTTTTAGAAGAGAAAACGGAGAACTTCTCTGGTTGAGTAAATGCCAAGTTGCCTTCTATTCCTGATGACCGTATGGTCCAGGCTATATGTTGGGATGGTTGGAAGATCAGAGTTTGGAAGGTCAAAGTTTGTTTTTGAGGTTCAGGAGTTCTAGATGTTTGGGTGAGAGATCTGGGTGAGGTATGGTTCCGCCTCTTTCTCTTTTCTCACATGTATTCGGTTTCTCTGAGCGTTCCCTTCCAAATCAGTTAGTCTTAGATACCCCATTTTCGACTGAACGGAATTCCAGGAAACTGAAAGTCCTAAAAGCGTACAAATCTGACTTAGACCCTCCCTAGACCTACCCTGTAATTTTTGCCCTACAAAAACCCAACTTTTCTAACCTAATCCACATTAGAGACCACAGTGCTATAGTACGTCCTTGTGCACCTAGTCCAATGCCCATATCATTCCCATGTCGATCCCATGACCATTTTCTCTCTCGTTCGTGCCAATCCATGTTACATGGACATAACCCTTTCCTCTTAAAGTCCAACCACTCTCTCCAACCTCTCTCTCTTTTTGTCTGTCATTATTGATTCCATCTGCCATCACTACCCAACCAAACTCTCTCTCTCTCTCATCATTAATTCCATCCATCGTCACTCCACCCGCCCTTTGACTTCTCCCCTCTATCTTTAATTCACTTAACTCCTCTCTCTCTCTCCAATTATTCTCTCTTCCTTTCCCTCACTTTCTTTACACGTGCCCCCTCTCCTCCTCCCTTACCTTTTTTCCATCTTCATTCATCTCTTTCTCCCTCTTCCTGACCTTCTCCCTCTCTACTCATTCTCTTTTCTTCTCCCTTATCTTCTTTCCATGTGCCCTCTTTACTCCCTTGCCTTTTCTACTTGCATTCAGTGTTTTAAAATGTGGGATGCGGCCAAAAGCGTTGGGGGGGCCAATGCGAAGATGCGGTTTGGATGCGGGTGCATCACCGTGATGCGGTCAATAAATATAAAAATATTCTAAAAAAACTAAAAAAATAGGTTAATGCATAGAAAAAATATGGAGGTGTATGTGATAGTAGGAATTTAGTTTATTCATGAACTCCAAAAGTATCAGTTGTCGGAGATTCTGTATAAACTATCCCTGATAGAAACTAGAAACTTGAAACTATTTTCATAAAACATTCAACAATCAACTATCATAAGCACAAATCTGCAACCACAAACTTTAAAATTGCAAAATACTACAAACTAAAAGTCCATGAAGAATTAAAGAGTTTAAAAGTCAAGCTCAAGAAGGATCAATACAAGTATCGATTTCTTCACGGCCCTTGAAACCCTCGATTTGATGTCATAAGTTCATCTAAACTTCCTCAAATCAATACCCAAAAGCTACAAATCAACAACCAAGCATCAACAAATGCACAAATCAAAGAACTTCAACTAATAAAATTTTCACCCAAAATTTCTTTTTGATTCAATTGATCCAATAAAAGCCACGGACGTGGTTGAAAAATGATGTTTGGGGGTTTTAATACCCCCTCAAAACCTCTTCCCCCCCCCCATTTTCAAAGGTCAAAATGACGTTATTACCCCTTCTCGAGGGGTTCAGTTTCTAAAAAATCACAGACAGATTATGCATCCTGATACGCTCAATGCGGGATGCGGCTCTGATGCGGAGAGACACGGTACATATGTGGGCACATCTGTCAAAACTGCATATGCAGGCATGTGCGATGTGCTGGGTAGCGCATAGCACCTGATGCGGCTACATTTTAAAACACTGCCTACATTTATTTCTCTTTCCCATAATAAGGATTCTCGCTTCGATTATAATGAGCCCCCAAAATTCACCCTCTCCCATAACTCCATGCACTCTTTCTCCCACACACAAGACACCTCTCCCTTCCATACAAAAAACACTTTCTCCCTCTCACTAATGCACTCCTTTCTCAAGCTTTCACTTTTAATCTCTTACCTTGAACGAGAGATTGCGGCTACATTTTAAAACACTGCCTACATTTATTTCTCTTTCCCATAATAAGGATTCTCTCTCTGATTATAATGAGCCCCCCAAATTCACCCTCTCCCATAACTCCATGCACTCTTACTCCCTCATGCAAGACACCTTCTATCCCTTTTATACAAAAAACACATTCTCCCTCTCACATATGCACTCCTCTCTCAAGCTATCACTTCTAATCTCTTACCTTGGACAAGAGCTAGAGAGAGAGAGAGAGAGAGAGAGAGAGAGAGAGAGAGAGAGAGA